ATGAATCCGTTTCTCATATCGCCTGTTCTCTCTAAGATTTGATCAATTAATGAAAAAATTATACTTGACATAAATATATCATTACTTCGTTTCTATATAGAAGTACTACATAAGAGGAGCAAGTCTTGTTTGCATTCTTCATATTCCCTTATCTGTGGGAAATTTCGAAAAAATTTTTGAATTGTTAATATTCAGTTGATCTGATTCCATTGTGTCAGTGTGAAAGAACGCAGATGAACAAGAAACACTGAGATTAGTCACGATGGGAATTAAATTGTGTTGGAGGTGAGAAGTGATGAATGGTTTGGAGTTGTTCAGGAGATGGACGATCTTGTGGTTAAGTTGCGCGAGTTGGTGAACACGAACCCTGAAGAAGCGGCTCGACTGCACGTTCAGGCAGTCTCGATTCTTGACGAAACTGATCGTTTGATAGAATCGAAGTTACCCGATGCGTCTTCGTGCCCTCAGTTCACTCCGTTTCCAATGAAAGAAAGTATCTTAAGACATACGTTACGTAATAAAGTGATGCCCGAGAAAACGGTTAATTCTTTTTTGGCTTATTTCAATACCAGTTTTGATGCTTTTTACCATTGGATTACTTGTATTCAGTGATTTAATCGGAATATGAGTGATGTATACTTTTATTCACTGGTAACAACAAGTATTATTAACAGCATCATAACATATTGCTGTTTCATTATTGTTATTGTTATTATTATTACTGTAGATATTATTACTAGTACTACTGTTGACGAGATTAGTATCGTCATAATCCACCACTGTCATTCTTATAGACCACAACGATGCGTTTCACGACGTTCGCAGATGTCGAAGAGACTGAACTCGTTGAACTGAAAGCCGATGGTGTCGTAGATGAACGAAAAGAGTTCAATCACAAAAAATCATTCGGAGAGAAAATTTCGAATTTATTTGCATCTGAAAATAGTAACGAAAATGGTGACGAAACGAAACGCGACACGAAGAGACAATCGAATAAATGGAATTTGTTTTGTACGAACAAAGAGAAAGAAACGCATTCGAAGACTGGTAACGATGTGAGGGATTTATGGAAAACACAAGTGAGCGTTGCATCTTATTTTATCCTGAAACTGATTCAGAGATTGATTCTGAAAGAGGTTGTGATGATCAAGTTGATAATGATCATTGCTGTCATCGGATGATATCTCATCAAATTTTAATCACTTCGAAAATTTTGAACTGAATTCATTCAGCAAAAGAATGGGATGTCGTTTGTAATTGAGATCAAATGAGAGAATTCATAAAGAATTGCAAAAAATTGCATTTTTAGCGTTCAGTTTATGCACGAGCACCTTAATGCTCCAATGGAATACCAAAGTAGGATCTAATAAACAACGAAATAATCTCATTTCATTCAGTCAGCATTTTGTTGACGAATTCAATACAGTCAAAAGAAATATTGCAAAAGTTTGTAAATTCATTCTATTGCAATCAAGCAATGGAATGTAAGCAACAGTTACGAATTAAAACTCATCATTTTCAGTTTGAATTCTTTCTGTCGATAGTTGGTTTCACGGTAGGTGTTGGCAATACAATAAAATTTCCTTCGTTAGCATATCAGTATGGTGGAGGTTAGTTCATTTGAACGTTTCTTTCGTGAGCGTTTTTATTATTTTGATCGCTAACACGAGCACTTCGGTGCCATTATAAATGAGGACAGCAAATTTCTACCATCAATATATCGAAATATTTTGAAAAATATTCCCCTCTTTAAATAGGCGATATCTTTTTACGAAACACGCTGCATTTCATATTCATCATTATCGCTAGGAAATCCAGATTGACCGTTAGAAACGGTGAACTGGACAATTTGATCATTTTCGTTGTAGATTAGGCAATTTTTATTATCTTCATTTCATCAATGTAATAGCATTTCATCAATGATACTGTCTAATAGTATCGTATAAGTCATTTTTTTCTGTTATTATCGTTCACCTACAAAACAATCGCAAGTTCAGGTGTTTTTCTGATTCCATATTTCGTTTGTTTGGTTCTCTTCGGTCTTCCGATTGTATTCATGCATCTTTGCATTGGTCAGTACTCAGGACTGTCAGCGAGCGGTGCGTTCTGGAAGATGATGCCAATTGCATCCGGTGAGAAATGACCGTTATTCGTATCAGTTGTCTGCAACTTCAGTGATCGGTTTCATATCGTTTGAAGTTTCAATTTGAAGGCATCGGATGGACATTAGTGGTGCTTGCGTTGCCGGTGTCCATTTATTACAACATTATTGTCGCATGGTCTGTCTACTACTTTTGGTTCTCATTGAAAGGCTTCTTTACGGGTGTTCTTCCGTGGAATCGTTGTGCTGCACGTTGGTTCAGAAACTTTTCGAAATGATTCTTTAGTATTTTCATTTTTTCAGAATATTTTCCAACTTCATCCGAATCCAATCAACATATAAACGAACACATAAGAGTTTGAGATTTAACGTCCCACTTTACAAATTTGGCTCTTTTCATGCATCACCCTGAATTCGACATTTTCTCTCAAATAGTTTAGTGAATTCATGGTTTTTCAAACCTTTTCTTCTGCATTCTCTGGTGTAGTTAATTTGAAATGAATTGAAAATTGCTATTCGATTATCAGATTGGCCAAAGCATATTCCGTGTTGTCTATTGG